GCTCCTCCAAGCTATGCACACTTGTGTGTGTGTCCCACCTGCTAGTAACTAAGAAAGGGGCACCAGGGCGTGGGAGAAGAGGAACACCCGGCAGAGAGAAATAGGGAGTGCAAAGAAGTGCTCGCTCAGGGGAATTTGCTGACTAGGCAAAGTGGAAAACAGCTAATTGGCTCTGAGTAAATATTTCCTAATGGGTCTAAGGTGGGAACGGATGCCTGGCCCAAAGTATATTTATCTTTTTGTGTTGGTTCAGGCCAGCTTGAAACCCCATATCTCAAAAATGTCCACACTCCTCTGTTCCTGACTCCACGCAAGGTGCCACCTAATTAGGGTTGCCAGTAAAATAACCCTTAAAATTGAATTTTACACAAGTGATGAATAGTGTTTAGTATGAAAGATACCCCAGGCAATATTTAGTTTAGGAACTCAATCTCACTGCCACTAATTTAATTCTAACTCCTAGTGACCCTATAGGACAAAGTACAACTGTCTCTGTGGGTTTCCAAGACTGGAACTCTGTTTTTCTTTTTTATTATTAGTTGGGAGTTAATACATAAATCATTCCAAATTTCAGTCACATCAGTAGAATGTTCAGTTGCTACCACACTCAGCTTCCAAACATGCTTTTTCTGCATGAACTTGACATTGTCCCCCTTTTGCCCTCCATCCACTGCTGTACCCCCTTATTCTACTTGCTGCCCCTCTAGGTCAAGGCTGTCGCTCTTTACAGGAGTAGAAAGCCTCGTCTTTCTCCCATGGTGGTTTTGAAATGCTGACCTTGCAGTTAGCAGCCCAATCGTAGCCACTACGCCACCAGGGCTGCTACTTGGGTTAGATTTATACTAAAAAGTTATTTTTTAGTTATCTCAAATGCAAATTTAACTGGGTGAACTTTTCAACTGTCACTTGAATTGAGCCTCCAGTGAATCCCTTCTGATTATTGATCCCGGATGTGAACAGCCTTGCCATCAGACAGAGTGCATTATAAAGTGGATTAATGCAGATGTAATTAGGTTAAAGTTTCACACCTCATCATTTGATCTCCCTTTTGACCCATTAAACATTTTTCTAGTTTTTAGTATTTTTTGCTTTCTTCTTGATTTAGATTTTTCTCTATTATTTTGGTATTGCTGTTCATTTGTTTTATGTTTCTCTGTAATGAAATCTGGATAGGAAAATCTGTAGACACAGTATTGACTAATAGTTCTTCAACCTGCTACATCTGGCAACCAACTAGATCCCCAGTGGATGAGCTGGCATCCTAAGTACTTCGAACAGGCCGTTCTTTTTAATGCACCTGAGGAAGCATGCACCCGGAAGTGGGACGCCTGATCTTGCGCTCCTAAACCTCCCCTCAGTCATCGGTCTACCTCGTCACACTTCCTCCATCATCTAGGAATGCATGTGAGTGGTTTCCCAACTCTCGTCACCCAGTGAGCCTCTGAAATGACTTCTCTTTACTGTGACAAGAAGGATTAAGTTGGTCTCCAACAGGAAAGACTGTTTTCTTTACTCCCAGAATGAGGAAATTGTTGCAGAACTTGCCCTCCACCCAAATTGTACCCACTGGCTCATAGTCTATTGAAAGAAGGCGCCCATATCCTCATCTGCATAATAAATCCCAACCACCAAACCATCCCGTCAGGGCTATCTCATAGCGACCCTATGGGACAGAGAGAAACTGCTCCTTGAGTTTCCTAGACTATTAAATCCTTGTGGGATCAGGCAGCGTCGATTGGAACCACTGATCTTGCTAACAGTCCCATGCCTAAGGCACCCCCACCACCACCACCCCGCCCCCCGCACTTTCATCTGTCTAATGAAGGCTTTGACATCACCACAAACAGTACTTGCCCAGGGTCTGCAGCTGGGGCCAAGTTAGCATCGTAGCACCCGGCAGCTAGACCCAAGCAAGGGCCTGCTGAGGACCCACGGCTGGGGGCGGGCTGCCGTGGCCAGCCCTCAGGTAACTGTGGAGATTTAATCAGGTGCCCCTGTGAGGGGCTCAGTCAGTGAAGCAGATGATAAAGCAGGTGGGTAACTGCCAAGTACATGTGAGTGGGGAGACGTGCTCCCTGGGGAAGAAAAACAAAAGATGTGATTTTAAGAAATGTATGTTTTTCGTGTGCTTCTGGGTTTGTGTTCTTTGTACTCAGTTATTTAACACGAAAAAGAAGATGACCTCTCAGTTACCGTAAACCGTGCTGCCCATTTGTTGTCCACAAAATGTCTCAAATCACAAAAGACACTGCCTGAAAAGAACTCCGTCATGTGATGTGATACGTTATCACGGGTTTTTATATGCCCCACGCCCCATGGAGTTGTCTTCAACGCCAAGATTCTTTACAGAGCCATCAGTATGCTGTCCTCCTCCTCAAAAGAAACCTACCATTCTAGGACTCATATTTTTATACTAGATCCTGTGGACGGTTGTTAGTATTAGGGGAGTGGCCTTGTTCCTGTTTCACTACTTTGCCATCATGCCACCCAGGATTCACTACAAAACCAGAGAAAAGTTCTGAAAATATTACAACAGATGCCTGTATAGATGTTGTTGTTGTTTTGTTGGGTCCTGTCGAGTCGGCTCCGGGCCACAGCGACCCTGTGCCCTGCTGAAGGAGACACCGGCCAGGCCTGCACCGATCTCACAGTGGACCTGAGGTTTGAGCCCACTGTTGCAGCCTCTGTGACGGCCCATCTTGCCAAGGGTCTGCCTCTTCTCGCTGCTCCTCGGCTGTACCAAGAAGCATGGTGTCCTTCTCCAGGGACAACGTGTCCAAATTCCATGAGACAGAGCCTCAGCATCCTTGCTCCTAAGGAGCGTTCTGGCTGCACTGCTTCCAGGACAGGTGTTTGCGCTTTTGGCAGACCGTGGTACTCTCAGTATGCTTCGCCAGCACCACATTCTTCATTCAGTCTTCCTTGCTCTGTGTCCAGCTCTCTATCACGGGAGCACCTGAGTCCTCAGTGCATCTCCCTTGCTCATCGACGCTTTTCAAAGGTCTCGTGCAGCATTTGACTCAAGAGGGTGTACATGTGCGTTTCCCTCTAGTTGCAAAACAGTAACAACTGTCAGAGCGCTAAGATTTAAGCGACTGAGAAACAGCTGCTTAGGGAGAAGGCGCTCCGAATTTTAGGAATATAGGTTTTCAGGTAACTTTTGCCCTGGAAACCATTAATAAGCAAGTTACACAAATCAAAGTTTCCAAACTCTTGAGATTTCAGAGAGGAAGGTGAGGGTTTTCATTATATTATGTCGTCCCTTTTTACCACTGTGACCTTGTGGCCCCAACAAGGTGCACTCGAGGGGGACAGGCCATGGCTTTGACACCCCCCGTGTTAGCACAGATCGCAGACCTGAAGATCCCCCCCCACACACACCCCTGTTCTGGAACCAAACCCACCCCCTGAGATCACCTTTCAGCTAAACAATAGGCAGGCTTATAAAAACACCAGTGAGGACTGTCCTCCCAGAACGATCAACAGTGCAGACCCAAGGGCAACATTTATCCAATAACAGAGCCTAGGGAACAAGGAGGAACAGCAAAGAAGGAAGAATGGAAATCGGGATCATAGGAAGGAAGTTGGGGGCGGTGCTATTCCATGAGGGGCCTGCAGCTAATGTCACCAAGCAAAATGTACATGAATCATTGAATGGACAGCTAGCTAACCTGCTCTGTCAGGTGGCACCTGCGTCACAGCTAGAGCAGCCAAAAAAAAAAAAAAAATCCCATGTCCTAAGGTGTGTCATGTGCTAAAGTTGCTCTTGAAACTCTGAGGTCTGTGCTTCTTACTTGTTTTGCTGCCCCACCCTCCCCTGTACCCATGTCACTGCTAATCTTTACAGTGTGGATACCCCAAATTGTTACTGTCCGACTGGAAATACCACATTTTGCTAGTCTCTTAGAGAGAGACTTGCTCAACAGGTTACTGCGTGGAAAGAGGAGCCAAGGCTTCACTCTTAGAACTTGTCTTCATACACTTTGCTCTTCATCTACTTCTTTTAAAAGTTTGTATTTACTTAGTTTCATCTACCTCATACTTACACCTTCCACAGTTAAAATATGTTATTTAAAAGGAAAGCAACACACAAAAATTGCCCGAAAGAGCAATAGAATCCAGCCCAGAAACAAACTTGAGGGCACGTGTGAATTTTGCACGGAAGTGGGATTTCAAATCAGTAAGGGTGGAATGTGCTGTCGTTTCTGAACAACATTTCTTATATAAAAGTTCTTTCTAGATGAAATAAAGCCTCAACTGATAAAGTACAAAAGTTCAACAGAGTAACAAACAAGGAAGTAGGAGGAACAGCGAGGAGGCTTCCTTAAACAAGGCCTATAATCTGTGTCTTTATTAGTGATCTGTAGTCTTAATTAATGTTCTGTAATTTACCTCTGGGATCTTATATCCATTGAAATGGCTACACGGAAATTCACAGACAGGATTCATGATGACAGGGTTTATTAAGGATGTTAACACGTTGTCATGAACCACCCCCACCCCCGCCCCTGTAGTTGTTAGCCAGGAAATGTTAAAAAGTTTCAGGTCTGCTAATAAATGCCCAAAGGGGCATACCACTCTACTGTAAGCCTTCACTCAAAGACATCCAGGTCAAGCTCTGTGGGTCAGCAAACCCTGCTCCCTGAATTCAGTGCCCAGAGGCACCCCACTCCAGGAAGCCTCAGTCCAAAGGCACTCAGCTCCACTTCCATGGGTCAGCAAGTTCAATTTACCCAAGTAAGTGGCCAGGGGCATCCTGTTCCGAAAGCTGGTCTCCGGCATAAAAGCACTCAGCTATCCTTGCTCTGTGGGTGGGGAAGCCCATTACTCTGCTTCATGCTCTGGCTCAGGCTATAGCTGTCCTGCTTCTCTGATGGTAATGTCCTCTGGATCCAGGAGGGTCACTGTCCAGGGATGTCAGGTCCAAAGGACACGCTCCACTCCTGGCTCTTACTAGTCATGAGATTCCCTCCTCCAGCATCTCAGGAGGCTTCTTTTATGCACAGCAGGATGGCCCTCCAGGAAATCCTGTTTGTAGTTACTATCAGCATCTTCCCCACCTTCTTACCAGACCCATGTAGGGAAAAGCCCTGTGGTGGGCTTCAGACACCGTGCCTGGAAGAGCCACACACCACTGTCCCTGTGAGTGACCACAAAGAAAATAAAAAGGCAAACAAGGACAAAGCCTATATATAAAAAAGTCTAAATCGGTAGTAAGTTAAAAAAGAAACAGACACCACAGCCTGGGAGAAAAATGACCATTTGACCAATTACGTTGTTTTTACAAGTGACTTCGTTACCTTGTGCTGCTCTAACAGAAATACCCTATGGGGATGGCTTTAACAAGCAGGTTTCTCTCCCTCAGCCTGGGAGGCTCCAAGTAGGAGCTCAGGGCACCAGCTCCAGCGAAGCCTTTCTCTCCACTCTGGGGGAAGGTCCTTGTCTCCTCTCAACATCCGTGCAGCCAGCATTCCTCAGAGATTCCCATGTGCCTGAACATCAATCTTCCCCTGAGTTGAGGAGCGTCTTAGCAGAGACCCTGGGTTCAAAGGATGTACTCTGCCCCTGGCTTTTCTTTCTTAGTGGAAGTCAAGTCCCTCATTCTGTCATCCCTTCGTTCTCCGCTCTCGCTCTCTCCTCCTGCTCTTCTCAGATAAAAGAGATGGAGGCCACACCGAGGGAAACTCAGCTCACATCAAGACAGGGCCGTGACCTGAGTAGGCTGCGTTTGTTTCTGGTTAGGCGCTGCTGTTGAGCTGGGTACCACTCACAACAAGTCAGTGATATATCCAGATGTGGGACACGCTTATCCTTGGACCCCGCTGAACTTTGTCCTAGAGGCATAGTTGCAGAAATGTCCCAGGATGCACTGTGTTTACTAGGGAAGTTGGCGGCAGCAGTGTAGTGGGAAGCAGAAGGAAATGTCGTATAAACCCGTAGGGTTTAATAAATTATGCTCTGTAACTACAATGGAATGCTGTTCAGTTGTTTGAAAGGATGAAGTATAGCTCTACGTACCAACATGGAAAGATGCCCTTAATATAATGTTAATGAAAAGTAAAACACATGTTTCAGAACATTCTAGTGTAATCTACTTTGGTTAAAAAAAAAAAGAGTGTATGTATATATATGATTGTACCGATTCATGAATGCAGAGAAAGTGTTTAGAAGACCACAAAGCACATGCATAACTGGTCTCTGGAGAACAGGAATGGAGGCTTCTACCAATTGTATACTTTTTTGTTCGCTTTTTCTAAACAAGTCTGGATATTTGATTTTTTTAATTTTATGAATCTATTACCAAAAATAGACTATGCCCCTTAAATTTAATTTTTAAACTCCTATATTTTCATGCCTCCAGTTAAAAAAAAATGGGGGGCTTAAAAAATTCTTCTCACCAAAATGTTAAGCCTAGACCCATTAGCACGGCCCCACCCCACCCCTGCCCCCGCCCACACTTAGTGTTTAATGATTCCCTTGATCACGGGCACAATTTAAACCACAATGATACCACTTGGGGAATCTGCTAATGAGCCTCCCCTGGGAGAGTCAGCTGTACAGTTGATCATTCTTCATCAGAGAGAAAATTCACTCCCTGGGTTGAGAGCGAAAAGATAGGTTCACTGTTGTAAAGCACTCTTCGTTTAAATCACAGGTACCAGGGTGAATAGGAAACACCAAATGCTGGTTTGGCTCAATTTGTGCCTCCAGAATCACCATCCCTTCATAAATCATTTGCTTAGTTTCTCAGTTGAGGATGCTGGCAGATTCCACTATTTCTCTGCTGGATTGTGCTTCTAGACACAGAGCGGGACTCACATGCGGCTCGATGGGAGATGACAGCTCAGGTGACGTTGTCCCTCTCCATTGGAGTCTTTCCCTGGGTGGCTTTTTGTCCGTTAAGGCGTCATGTATCTTTCCCATGCAATTCACTCTTTCCTCCTTGGTTGTGTGTGTGTGTGTGTGTCTGTGTCCCCACACACCAGAGACAGCAGTTGGGAACAGCTGTGGAAATGGGAATTGCTCAGATGCTGGAGGAGAATTCAAGCATCCTCAAGTTCGGATACCAGTTTACCAAGCAGGGACCGCGAACCAGGGTGGCCGCCGCCATCACCAAGAACAATGACCTGGGTAATGATTCTGCCGTACTTGTGTGCTCGTGGCAGTTAGAAGAGGTGATCACTGTGTCCATCTCAGATAAAACATTTAGCATACCACTGCATTGACCTTGGGTGACGTTTTGCCCTTCATCACAGGTATATTATTACGTGGTCATGGGAACCCTTATGATACTCATGTTAAAGTTTCTCTATTGCATCCTCGCAAAGAAAGAGCTGTGTTCTTTTCCTGGACAGCCCTCGGTTTGACTCAATTGCTTTTATGGATTTGCTTCTCCTTCACTTCCATATTATATATGATCATTGTCTGCCCCCAAGGTAGCAGTAGAGACAGGGAGTCTAGTGCTCTGAGGTTTGACTTCTGAGGGTGTTTTTGCATTTAACATTTAAATTGGGGCACACCTACTGATACATCAGTAATTTACATGAGAGAGCCATGAAACGACCTTGTGGGTGTTAAGTTTAGAGGTCACCACAAAGATTTCTCAATTATCCCTGCTTTCATTTCTCCTCCTGCCTACTCCATGCTGAGCACCAGTGGCATATCTTCTGTTTGATTGAAGTGGGGTGTTGTCCTGGTCAACACAGCACAACAGAATGGGGCAGATTGGCAGGACTTGATCAGGGAACATCCCAGCCACCAGGAGCAGACAGTCCACCAGGCAAGCACTCAGCCAATAGCAGGCCTCAGTCCCCAGTTTGAAGTTAGGGACTGCATGCCAAGCCTTGGACAGGGGCACTGGCAAGAGCGGGGAAGGAGGATTCAAATGAAGGACAAGAAAGAAGCCAGGTGGTGGATCCAGAGAGAGATGGCCAAAGGCTAGCTTGCAGCCCTCTGCCCGGACACACTTAGCCATGGCCTTGAGACAAAGTGTGGTGTGTGGCATCCCAGAGACTGGCCGTGCAAACCTGCAGGGTACAGAGGGGGAGCCCAGGTGGCAGCCCAGGAAACAGGGCTTTGGGAAAGGGTGGGGACAGCAGTCTGAAGGAGCCTTGGAAAAACACATTGTATCTACAGCTGAGCACTATATAGTCCTAAGGAAAGAGGCAACAGCTTCTGACTAATGTCCTGCAGCCCAGACAGGAGCAGGCTGGCTATTGAAAGCAGAGAGGCAGGGCAGGACCACAGACTGGCAATGCCTTCTGGGCAAATCCAAGAAAGTGAAGGGTGACCTCCATCCTATTGCCCTGAAGGAGCTTAAAATGAGCAAGAAGAGAGAGCTTCAGAAACTGGGAAACCCAAAGCTTCGGTTTGGGCAGGTTCTTTGATACTAAGTATCAATTAATCTCTGAGTTTGCTACTTATCTGAGCCTTGCCTTCCTTGGAAGTTGATACTTAGATTATATGTAAAATACATTTAGAAACATTCGTCTTGTTTTTGGAGTGGCCGGATGCAATACTTCCTGGAATTCAAACTGTGTTTCGAATTAAATAGATGGTGATTGTTTCAGCTCAGGGAGCTACACCCAGGTGGTGATTGAGTCGAAAAGCAGTGAGAGAGATTGCCACCAGGAAGAGAACTGACGTTTCAGCCTATTTTACTCCGGACCTTCCTCCAGGGAAGTCGGGGCAGTCTAACACCGATCAACCATAACCTTTGTGGAGATGCAAATTCCAAAAATGATCACTTCCACCAGACATTAGATTTCCTTTTCTCCATCTGTTGTCATGCATACTTGATAACCGTATCCTCTGTTGACAGTATATGTGATTAATGTAATTTTTTTTCATGATTTTTTTATTATTAATACAACCCTCCTTTCTTATGTAGTTCGTAAGAAGCGAGTTGAAGGAGACCGGAGGTAAACTTCCAGCAGAAGAGGTGACGTTTCACCCCGGCAATTGCTCCGTGACCATTTTAAGAAAGAAAGAAGCAAACAAAAATCTCTCCTTCCCCATCGGGACCATTTTATCAAAGGTTGTTATTTCCGTTAACCACACAGCTAATAATGTAATCATTGTTTTTTGTTGTTGTTTTTGTTAGCACAATGTATTTACCGGGGATTTTTCATGCATACAGTTGCTGTGTTCGATGGCGGCACTTCGGGTAACTTGCCCGAGCGGACCCTGGGCAGAGCTTAGTGAGTGACAGTGTCTGAGAGTGATTTTAATCCCTTTCATATCAGGTCTTCTTGCTTTAGTACATGAACTTTTCCCCCCCTTTAATCGCTACAAGGAATTTAGTATACAACATATGTGTTTTTAACCATGATTGCGATAGAAGCCTTTCTCTGTTTACACGCACAGCTCTGAGTTAGGTTGTATGCATCCCAAGTATTGTGCTTACCCCAGAAGAACTTAGTATTGCCAATCCCTCCCTGGGAACAATGTGCCCTGGGTTCCAGAAAAAAATCATTAAACTGCACATGCTCTACTAATTGAAGACCAGTAGTGTCGTCCTCACAAAAGCAAGATAGCACTGTGACACTTTAACACAACATTCACAAAGAAGCGTGACAGATGGAGGAGCCCGCCAGTGTTGCTTCACGTCAGACTCTCACAGGTAGCAAAATGAATGACCGTGTCCGGGTCAACACACACTGCAGCTCTAATGGGACTCTCATGGATAACTATTTCCAATGCTGTTTTAACGTTTTCTAGCCATGAGAGAAAACTTCTTCGTGTTTGATAAGAGGGAGGCTTTGGAAAACAGCACATTCTTAAATAAAAACAACAGTAATTGCACCCTCAGCAAGGTTGTCTGGCACACACGATTGCATTATCTCGCACCTTTTTGGAAGCGTTTGCTACTTTCTCTCTAGGGCAGCAAGATCATAGGATGAAATGGACAGTTGTTTTGTCTTTTGAACATGATCCAACCAGACATTAGCAAATCCTTTACGCAGATCTTTCATCTTGAGAACAAAGCCTGGGAAAGTACAACCATGATGATTGCTTTTTCTGCATACTCAGCTTTTATCCTAGCAGCGTGGAAGCCCAATGAAGGAGAGAGATGACTGGTTGCAGCCTTTGTCTCAGGCCTCTGTATCCTTGAGAACTGTCTGTGCCTGAGGCAAGGAGCCCTCGTGGCATAGTGGTTACAAGTTCCTCTGAGATCCGAAAGGTCTGCGGGTCCAATCTGCCAGCTACTCCTTGGGGAAAAGATGGGACTTTTTACTCCTGTCCCGGGGACCCACAGGGGCAGTTCTACCCTGTCCTACAGGGTCACTGAGTCAGCATTGACTACATAGCCATGAGTGCTGGAGGCAGAAACTGGCTCTTTGATGGGAAGGGAAGAAGCTCTGGGTACCGCTTCTTCCCTTCCCATCCGTTCCCTCTGCTTACGAGCCTTGTAATGAGGACACAGCTCATGCTGGTGGCCCCTTGAGCTAAGGAGATTGTCAGCCAAGGCAGAAGGCAGACCCAGAGTTCGTTCAGTGACTGGGTGTTCCTGAGTGATTTGGTAGCAGTGAAACAAGTTAATGGGGAAAAGAATGAGTATAGTATTCAATTTTGCTTCTAAAGCACATGGATTCTGTCTGACCTAAACCAAACACCAAACCCATGGCCAAAGATGGATTCTGACTCATAGTAGCCCTATGGGAGAGAGCAGACCTGCCCCATAGGGCTCTCAAGGTTGTAATCTTAACAGCGGCAGCCTTCCACATCTTTCTCCCTCTGAACAGCTGGTGGTGGGCTCAAAGTGCCAACCTTTGGGTTTGCAGCTGAGCACTTAACCGAAAGGATTGCAGCCATGCAATCCTGAGGAAGCAGTTCTTCTCGGGCACATGTGGGGTTGCCATCATCTGTAATTGACTGGAGGGCTGTAGGTTTGCTTTTATTTTTTAGATTGCTGAGGGGTTTTTTAACCGTTCATCATACCACTGGGTGAAATAAATACACATTTTCTTCTTCTTCTTTTTTTTTTTTGTTTGCATTGTATAAGTTTGGGTCACCATGTTGCCAAATGCCAGAGGAACTTGTCTCTTGGGTCTCTCTTCTCCTGTGCTTTAGGTTTGATGCAGATCTAAGTGCCCCTGCAAGCACGTCTTTTCCCCTTTATTTTCTCTTACTCATTCTATTTTGTGTGTGTGTGTGTCTTCACCATTCATCAGCCTTGGACCTTCTAAAGCATATGTTCCCAAACTTACTTGGCCTGTTTCCCCCTTCACAGGGAAAAAAACAAAAACTTAGCTCTCCCTTGGCAATGAAAAACTTTTGTGCTGTAGCCCATAATCCAGGATAAAGTATAGGTATCTGCTTTTACAGCCCCCTGGACCATTCTAGCACCCTCCCCCCAGCAGGCAGTATCCCCCACATTGAGAAGCACTGTTCTAGATGATTCTTTTTAGCCTTGGGGCTCTAGGGGCTGGAGTTAGAGCTGCTGCTAACAGATTCTGACAGGCAGCAACGACAAAGTATCAGAATTTCAGTCATATTGTTTCTACTATGGATAGTGTTTGAACAAGGTATTGGAACTATCAAAATATAGCGCTGCTTTTCCCTTGTAAAAGAGTTGGGGGTCACATACAAAGTCTATGAAATCAGACATGTATTACTCATCCATTTAACATCATTGCCCACGTTCTGAGAGTATTCGTTCTCATGAATACTCCCATGTTAAAGATGACTGGTAGGCGACAAACTCACATTGTTGCGAGTCTATAAATCATCTAGTTTGTTCATAACTGCATCTCCAACTGCCTGAAGTGTGTAAGTGGAAGCTCGTCCATGATCATCCCTTGCTGTCCATCATATGGTTGTGCATAATGTAATTGTTATATGTTTCTATCTTTTGCCAAATACTATTATCTAGATATTTGGCAACATCTGGACAACTGATTGAAGGGGGCACTCTCCCCCGACTCACCCCTCTTTTCCTTTTTTGAGTCACGCAAGCCCAAGTGACCTTAAGGGTAAGGTCACTCACCCACCTGCGCTTGTGAGGTCATACCCCCAAAGTCCATCCTGGTGTGATTGGAAGATGATCTTTGAGGCAATTCATTTCGGCAATCTAGAAAGTATGTGATTTGTCCAACCCTCCTGCATCTCCCATCAGCCTAAAGCATGTGATGGCAACTGTTCTGTCCTCATGAGCATGATTGAGCCCCTTCCTTGACTCTTCATAGGGCATCATGTAAATAATTGTGTTGAGTTCTGTGTGTGTGTGTGTGTGTGTGTGTGTGTGTTCGCATGCATGCTCGCGTGAGTATCACCAAATATCTCACCAGATATTTGGCTACATCTGGACCACTGATTGAAGGGAGACACTCTCCCCACAGCTCCACTGCCCCTGCCCTTTTCAGAGATGCCGCAGACCTAGCTTAGGTGTTCAGTTACTCTCTGGAGTTTGTGGCTTCTGTCCCCACCCCCCACGTGGCATAGCATGTATGCAAGAGGACTTTCAGGAAATCAGATCTGTCCCAGCACCAGGTGTCTCTGTGGGAGCACTTTCATCCGCTTTGGTGTGAATGAACCCCTCCCTCCCACCTTTGTCGTGTACACTGTATATAAATCTTTCGTACATAGACATTACCAAATACTGAGCAGAGGTATTTGGCTACATCTGAACAACTGATTGAAAGGAGATGCCTTCTCCCAGCCCCATTCCCCGACTCCCTGCAGGCGGGAGATTCTCCTGGTGGGCGAATCCTCAGCCTGGCACCCGCTGCTGCATTCATCACACAGTCCGAGCCCATCAGAAATCATCCCAGTGCCCGAGACCTCCATTTCCTTCCAGGGAAGACTGGCAAACCCGCCCCAAAGAAGAGCCGCTTCTCTCCCAGGGGGAAACCAGGGTGCTCCCTCCCAGTCACAGCCTTGGGAACATTTCAGACACACAAACATAATGCTGACACGAGGGACCGGCATGCTTTCTGTGTAAAGCAGCTCTTGAGGAAGTACAAGCATTGGCAAATAGGAGCGGGCTTCAGAAAGTTCATAGAAAAACGGAGTTCAAAGATCTGGAATTGCTCTCTGAGTTTTGTTGGGTTGTTTGCTTGTTACATCAACTGTCGTGTGTGGGATGGGATGCGGAAACCACAAGCTTTGTGAAGCCCCCCTCATTTTTCCTGCTGTCATAGCTATGGCTTGCTCCACGCTCAGCCCTTTCTCGGCACCAAGCAGGAGACAGCTGGAGAAGAAGAAGGCACATAGCAGGCAGGGGGCGGTGTGTTGTGAAGCCTGGGTTCTGGGGTACGCTACACAGACTCGGTGAGCTGTTTCAGCACTCACATGTTAAGCTTGCTCCTGAGGCTCATTCCCTTTTCCACTGCAGATGCAGTCATAGCTGTCTTCCATGTAAAGAACAGAGGACTGAAAATACATGTCTTTGCCATGTCTTCCAGCAGCGTTTCTTTCTCCACTCCCCTTATAGCTCCGCATCTCATGTATTACTGCCACTCACCACATCTCCATCCCGTCCTCAAAGCTGAGGGGTTGAGATACACAAAGGAAAGGGAGGGGCTTTGAAGTAGCAAGTTGAGCCCACAGGAATAGAAATCATGTGATCCTCCTTCCTGGTAATAAACTAGGGAGAGAAAGTGCCCAGAGCCTCAAGGACACACGTTTCATGCACCCCAAGGCTAGGTCAGATGGGACTTGACGTCGTTGTTTATGAGTTCAGTGGAGTTGAGTGGAGGCCAGGTAGAAGAATGAAAATTATAGGTGTGTACTTACTGGTAGAACTAAAACCTGATCAGGCTTACCTTTGCTAGTCCTGGTGGTGTAGTGGTTATGCATTGGGCTGCTAACCGCAAGGTCAAAAGTTTGAAACCACCAGTCACTCCTTGGGAGAAAGATGTATGGGAATCGTCTTAGGCACAGAGAAGAGTAATCAACTCAGTAGACTTTTCTCTGACAGCCTCCGTGGTGGTCATTAGGAGCACATTGGCTTTTCTAGTTGGTGTGGTGGAAGGGCACCACACGAGCAGCTCTAGAGACAGGGTCTGAATCCCATCCTCAGCACGCAGCGGGTTTATGATCATGGGCCATTCATTAAATTACCTGCCGATTATAAACCTCCTGGAGCGGAGTCAAGAATCCAAGACACTTGGCTCCACCTTTCTTAGCTGGGTGACTTCGGGCAAGTTCAAGTCACAGTCTCGTAAGCCTAAAGTTCTTCGGCGAAACAGTGGGAAGAATGATCTCTTCACTAACTACCTCACAGAGCAGGGACTGTGAGCAAATCGCGGAGGAGAACACTGGTAACTGGAGAGCTCTCCATGACAATGAGAGATCCTTGCTATTCGGGATCCGTGACAGCTTTCTCCTGCCTCTCAACTCTGTTCTTTTCTTTTTGGTGTTTTGTTTTCTTCTGACCAACAATGACATCTTTTCTAGACCAGGGAATTGAAGTGGAGGGCCTGACATGGGGCACCGGGATGGCTTTACTTCCACTAGCTCACTTGGCCAGTGTCCTGGGGAATGGTCAGAATCC